CGTTTTGGAATAGAATTTAGAGAGGGCGTTTGATCAAGTTAGACCTACGTTTTGAATTTGAATTACATTTTAAAGAAATTAGAACTACATTTTGGAAAATTTGAACTACGTTTTCAAAAATTAGAACTTCATTTTGGGAAACTAGATCTACATTTTGAGAAATTTACGCCTACATTTTGATAAATCAGACATTGAATTTTGCAATTACATTTTGATTTTAACATGGACTTTTGCTGCGTATGGCACCCCATATTTCGGTTGGTTAGATTGTTGGTGTTCCGAAATTACCCACAAAAATACGAACACCCTTTTAAATGTTGGTTTCTTCTCGTGGATAACAGATTGTATGCGGAAATTACCAGAAGTGTGAGACACACGGGCGCAATGAAAGCTAGGATGGCGCCAGAGCTTGTATTCAGCCAGCACCTGTAAACAAAAAGATAGCCCAATAAGTAATGGGATGTTTTACAGTGTTTAGCCACTTGCTATTCTGCTTTTATATGATTGAAGACTTTCTGGTTCCGTTGTACATATTATTACATAATTATATTGTAACTGTCCATGTTATAAATGCTTCTATATTATGATAACTGTTTTATGAAATAAATAGTGCCAACAGATTAGATTATAATTTACTTATCAGACGCATAGTTCTCTCGTGTGATACCAGCAGTCAACATGACAACAGCGATGGGTCCAATCCAACCAATATATCGGCTATATAAAAAGCGCCGATCATGATTAGCATACGGGTGTTTCACTTTCATGTAAACATCAGTCGATATAATCAACATCCAGAAGAAATCTGCTAAAAGACTGTAGTGTAAGAATCCAGCATGCAAAGTGCATATTATCTGAAATTTAAAGTACATCCCAAAAAGGTCTATTTTATTTAAGTCGACTGAAATCAGTATTGACGCTAACTAATTAAATATTTAATTCAACATCGTCAGTCACTTGAGAAGGAATTTCTAAAGGTTATTAATTGAAACGTAGCGGTAATTATTGCCTTTCCCTATGTTATTAGAAAAGTATATAATTTTTTTTATTTCCTTGTCTCCAAAATCAAGTACACTCTCTACTTGAGAGACCAAATCCCGCGAAAACTGGTTACTGAGGCTGGGCATTTCTGACCACGATCATGCGTAAATCCGCCCGTTTTTATCACTTTAGAAAAGAAAAATACTGTAAATATACAAGCTGGTATTTTCTTCGTTTCCATGGTCAGCGCCAAACATAGGCCTATGTATTAATCACGGTTAGTGCGATTTGTACGGAATTGATTCGCGGCCGACGCATCGGGAGTTCTCTTTGGTCATGAGAAAAAGCCCTGCTGTCACAAGAATTAAACTCATGACCCTAGGATAAGAAGGCAACACAAGATTTTTCTGTCCGGCACTTTGGTCACTTTCCACGCTTGGATATTCTTTAAACTTTATTTAAGCAAACATCATGCTGTAAAACCTCGAATTGAAGCCCAATTGGTTTAATCTCGAGATGAATCCCATCTTGAATTGAAGCCCCACCCCGCCTTCTTTAGTTTGCAAAATTAGCCTCAAAAAGAAGCCCATCTTGAAAAGAAGCCCATAGACTTCTTTTACAGTAGTTTTGAGGATATAATGTACTGTTAAATACATTCCATGATACAGATTGATGTTATAGTTGCCATATTTATTGTTTCATAGTACAAATTCAGAAAATTTACAGCATTTATTTTGAAAGGAAGCCCCCACCCCTCTTTACTTTGCAAAATTAGGCTTGAAAAGAAGCCCATGGCTTCAATTTGAGGTTTTACGGTATATCAAGGATGTGCATATTAAGACAGTGGCGGATCTAGGGGGTGAATAGGGTGGCCACTGGCTAGCCACCCCCTTCGGTGACCTCGGGAAAAAAATACAGTCACACGTCTTGTGTGTGTGTGTGTGTGTGTGTGCGTGTGTGTGTGCGTGTGTGTGTGTGTGTGTGTGTGCTGGCTGCTGCTCATGTATACATGTTACATGTAGTGGCTACTCTCGTAAACATACACTTTCTATTTTAAGCTTAACTTCTTTTTAGATGTCATCCAAGAGCGACTAGCCGTCAACTAATTCCAAAAAAATCTCAAATGGAAGGGGATGCCTCTCCCTAAACCTATGATCAAGGAGGGAAGCCTTCCCTAAGGGGGACACGTCCCAAAATATTGTTAAGGGGAGGGGTGGTTGGTCCCACTTTTCGTCCGCAATGTAATAATATTATAAGTCAAGAAGATGCCTGAAAATTGTTGAAATGAACAGCATTAATGACCCAGGTATTAACGAATGTGTGCTGTACAACCGGTACTATCTCTACCCACATACATCTGAATTACTTACAATACACGACTCTTGTGCGCGTGCCTTTATTGTAATTTGAGAAGTATGAGAAAAAGCGTGTAATAATAATAATAAGATTGGTTTTCAGCACATGGTAAAGTAAATTAAAAATACACTATGGCAATTGAGTTTTATTTTCAATGGATCACAGCAATTTATTTGATCGATGATGATGAATTTTATTATAACAGAGTGTTATTTCCGGTAATATAGAGGTACAATTTCCCCAAATGTTCCCACCTCAGCCCTTGTGTGGACTAATGGCTTTGAAGTAGGTAGGCCTAAATTAAGTACATCAAAGACAATGCTTTTAATATTGATTTTCTATAGTACATCACACATATTAATTAGATATCTATGGTTGCCGAAAATCATGAGAAATTTGTTGCCGCTTCATTTTTAATAATGGTGATGTGATGAATTTTTCTATATAAAAGTGTCATTCCGGTAATCTAGAGCTACTATTTCCTAAAATCTTCGTACCTCGGGCCCAACCATGGTGGGAAAATGTCCCCTACTTTTCGAAACAGATCTGCGCCCTTGTCAAAACCACGCCCCCACCCCCCACCCCCACCGCTTCGTGGTTAACAAATCGCATTATCCACCCCCATTTCTAAATCCTAGATCCGCCACTGTAAAATATGGCATCATGCTACATATTTTAAATATTAATAAAACCGGAAATACAAGTCTTTCACGTTTTTCAAACTAGCTATAGCCAGGTTAAAAGCCAAATTACCGTGAAATGCATAAATAACTTTTGCCCTTAACCTGTGAAATTACACAAGATAGACTAACTAATAATGCACTTTTTTCTGCAGGGTCGGGGTTTTTGCCATAAAGGTTAGAACTCTACTCATCAACCTAACCAAAACCATTGGTTTTAAATCTCTTGATGATCAATGGGGAAAAGTCCTGTGTTCTGTATTACAGACATACCATACCTGTGTCTTGTTGCATTTTTGTCTATGATAAAACAACAATCCTAGCTAACACATTTGATGTAGAAAAATATCTTATTGGGATGCTAAATATTTGTACTTTTAGTTATAACAGACTTATCATCAATGCTAATTGTCATATAGCAAGAAAAGTTAAGTATACTGTGTAATCATACTGTAAATGAAATCTTGGGTAGGCCTACTGTTTCATCATCATATGGAGCTTCTAGTAAAGCAAAAAACACATTGGCACAAAGCAGAGCGATGACAAGGTGGCGCAACAGTCTATACCGATCCGACTTTCTCAAATCTCTGGAATTAAAAATATACTTGCATTTTCTAAAGTTATATGACTTTTAATTTTAATGTTGATGGCAATATGATGGCTTTAACATTTCATTTCTGCGTACAGTATAACATTGAAATATCTATTGTATAGAGTATATAGTGCTCCTATAAAGAAAAACAGGGGAATTTTTATCGGTTTGGTCTCGTAACTTGCAGTTGATAAGGCAATCAATCTAGCTCAGTTGTTAGACCAATCAAACAAGGATGCTGTGGCATACTTGTACTCGTGCATACTCTCAGAGGGCAGCGCGGTTAAATTGTGCAGTGCTATTTAGAGACCAGGGTAATAACGCTAAGGCGCCGTTGATAATTTATTTGGTATTGGCGCCAAAATAATCTTTAGCGGAGTGACGATGGTAACAATGTTTTGGCTTACTGTTAATGAATATAATGATGTTCATGGTAAATGGCTGAGACAATTATTATTATGGCGACTTACTTTAAAACACAGATGATAATAAGCGTGATAATGAGAAAAATACTAGAAATTGCAAGTCCAATTATTGTAAGCCGGGAAAAACTTTCTTTCTCCTACAACATAGAAGATATAACTAGATTCAGATTCGGATTCAAATTTATATTATTTGTCATATGCATACATACATGAAATGTTCCTACCTACATTAAATATTATATTTGCAGTTATACAGTAATATAAATCTCATTTATGAGTAATTTTACCTCATACATATATCATTTGCAAGAATTACAGTACTGCGAACGAACGAGTTTCTCTACCTCTTTGTTTTGTTATTCGGTGTGGTGAGAATTAATGTGAATGTTATTTTTTGAAATTGTTTGATCATATTCGGTGTGACTATTCTACCAGATCGACTAAAATGAATACACGTATTATTATTGCTAAATAGATGGTTTTTGCCATTGCTTATAACATTTAATGAATATGGCCTTTTCGAATATTTCATGGCAGAGTTTATTAAGCCGGCAGTACGTCCATTAGGCTATAAATCATTTTTTGTATAGGTATTGAGGGCGCACACTCCAACCGTAATTTTAACGATGGGCGAATTCGAGTTATAGATTGCAATACTATGTTTCATAGTTCCATTACTTTAATTACTATTTTACGATAAGAATTAAAGTAAATGATGATCTTAAAAATGCGAAAAATCGTATTTTTTAATTGCCTCTATCTTTTGGAACTTTCACTTTTGAGTTTAATAATTTTTTGTTAATATACGGTATTCAATATTTCTATTTTTCTTACCTGCGTTGGTTTCATCAGAATGACAAAAGAAGTCAGGTGTGTGCATTTACACGTCACACCCTTCTCCAGGTAGTTGTCATAGACCGTTTCACAACCCTTTGTTGACCAATGACTTGAAAATTAAAAATTAATTTCAAGTGAAAAATATATGCTAAGTGTAAAATTTAAATACAGTAACTAGTGCATTACAAAAAAAAAATATTGGAACTAACAAGAGAAGTAGAATCAACAGTAACAATAATAATAATGATAATAATATAATAGGATGGGATGATAATAATTATAACAATGATGATGTTGAGATAACAATATTCCGGAAGTTATGATTGAGAACGCCCACCGGACAGGTAAACCCCGTGCACCGAACGATAAGCCAAGGCATATTGTTGCCAAGTTTATATACCGGCCCCAACATCATCAAGTCTTTACGAAGGCAAGGGCATTACTAAAAAACAGTAACTTATTTGTTACCGATGATCTTTGCGAAGCGGATCTTGCAAAAAAACGAAGTCTAAAAGACACAATGGCCCTAGCCTATAGTGAGGGTAAATGGCCGTCTTTCCGTAACGGAATCTTGTACATCAACGGTTTGTTCCACTCCTAGGTAGACATTGTTTATTCTTTTAACTCGTTGGCTATTGTCACTTAATTTGTAGCATGTCATAATATTAATTATGATTAAAATTAACTTTATCTATACTTCTACTTAATATTTCTCTGACGGAGCAATGGCTTACCGTATCTTTTTTTGTTATAGCACATAAGTAGCCCGAACTTATTTACGAACCATGTGCTTTTATTGTGTGTGTTATTATTATTATTATTATTATTATTATTATTATTATTATTATTGTTTTTTTTTTATTTTGGCATCTACTGTTGCAATATTATATACTATCATGTTAAATACTATCAATTGATATTATACATATGGATGATGTACACTTTATCTATATTTCAAAGTACATATACCCACCATTTTCTATCTTCGTGCTAGCATTGAATGCATACGATTTAAAAATAAGTGTAAAAGTTGAGCGAATTTATGTACATACTCCCCCACCATGCCAAATCCTAATAGCTTAGATGCCGAAAATTTAAATACTCTATCCGACTTAAAATTTAACCCCTTCCTGGCCTACGAAAACATCATCAATAATGAAGATGTAGATCCGGACTTTCAATTTTATAGTGATAGTATAAATGAATCAAGTTATTTCCATCCAAGTCAGTTTGCTGATACTTTTTCTAAATTAAATAATGATGACCTTTTTTCTAGTATTCATTTCAATGCACGTAGTCTCTTGGGTAAGAAAGATGGACTCTTTAAGATGTTTTCTTCTAACACTTGAGTTTGAATTTGATGTTATTGCCATTTCTGAATCTTGGCTTAAAAACGATGATAGTCCACTAACAAATATTCCCGGATATACATTCTTATCTAAAAAAAGACAATCCAAAAGTGGTGGTGGCGTAGCTATGTACGTGCAAAACAAATTATCTTTTGTTGTTCGTGATGACTTATTAACCGATGAATCAATATGTGAATCGTTGTTCATCGAAATAAAACTAAAGCATGGGAAAAATATTATCATAGGGACATTTTACCGGGCTCCGTACTTGGACGTTAACGCCTTTAACGATACCCTTGACAAACTTTGTCATACCTTTGCAAATGAAAATAAGCAGGTATTTCTGATTGGCGACTTCAATATTGATATTTTACAATATACTTCCGAAAATTCAATACAAAATTTTGTTAACACTCTCTTTTGCAATTTTTATTTACCGTTAATACTAAGACCTACTAGAATAACGTCAACAACTGCTACTCTACTTGATAATATACTGACAGATGTGTATAAGAGACAGGTATAAAATATAGGCCCTAATTCATGTAATCTTTCCATATCTTCACTGACACACAAAAACACTCAATCAACCAATGTACTACAGAACAAACCTTATAGGCAAATTAATGCAAACAATATTGAACGTTTTAAAGAAGAACTTAGTGAAACTTCATGGGATTAAGTGAGTATACTCCAAAACGTAAACCAAGCTTATTCAAAATTTGAAACCAAATTAAAAGTTTTATATAATAAACACTTTCCAAAAAAAATTCAAACTAACAAAAATAAAAAATTAAAAACATGGATGACTGATAGTCTATTACAATCTATTAAATATAAACAAAAATTGTATGCAACATATTTACGTAATCCAACCGAACGAAACAAAATTAAGTACAGTGAATTTCGTAACACTTTAAATTCCCCCTTAAAACGTGTTAAAATTGATTATTATTTAAACATATTTCTTCAGTGTAAGCTCGATATCAAAGGGACATGGCGTATAATTAATACATTGATGAAAAGGTCTTCGAACACAAACACTGATGTAATAATAGATGATAACGGTGAACCTATGAAATATTCAACTGAAATCGCAAATGCGTTTAATAAGTTTTTTGTTGAATTAGGCCCAACCCTTTCTAATAAAATGCCGACAAACCGACCCGAATTTAATAAATATTTACCTCAACCTACCCTGAATTAATTATTTATGCTTCCAGTATCGGACACTGAAATTATATACATTGTTAATGGCTTTAAAACTAATAAAGCACAGGGACTTGACGAATTTAGCCCAAAAGTTATAAAACAATCAATTTATTTTTTAGTTAAACCTCTTTGCCATATATTTAATTTATCTTTAAAAAATGGGGTTTTCCCAGATCAATTGAAATTAGCGAGAGTCTCCCCTATTTTCAAATGGGTAGGAAGGATTCATTGTCCAATTACCGACCAATATCTGTTCTTACTGCATTCTCCAAAATATTAGAACGTATTATTTACAATAGAACGTATGCTTTTATTTAAAAAAAACGATATTCTTTTTGATAAGCAATTTGGGTTTCGTAAAAACTTCGACACATCTATGGCATTAATTGACTTGTCCAACGAAATCGTTGATGCTTTTGAAAACAATATGTTTGCAATAGGTTTATTTATTGATTTATCAAAAGCGTTCGATACTATTAACCATTCAATCCTACTCTCTAAACTGTATCACTATGGTATCCGTGGAGTTCCTCACGATCTTTTTAGGAGTTATTTGACTAACCGCTACCAATGCACAACGTATGGTGGCTCACAATCTGATTACTTGCCTATTAGTTGCGGTGTCCCTCAGGGTTCTCTCTTTGGCCCCCTTTTGTTTCTTTTATATATAAATGATATTTATAATTCTTCAGCATTATTATCCTTCTTTTTATATGCGGATGATACGACTATATTTTGTAGAAATAAAAATTTAGAATCATTATTTCGTATAGTGAATGCAAGCTTGGGAGAATTATCCGAATGGTTTCTGGTAATTGCCTCACTATAAATTTAAAGAAGTGCAACTATGTATTGTTTAAAAGTACCCAAAAGCCAATTGAACTAGGTCAGCTGCAGATCAAACTCAATGATTATGTTTTTCCTTTGGTTGATCACTCTAAATTCCTTGGAGTATCCATTGATAGACGTCTATCATGGAAACCCCACATATTCGAAATTGAAAACAAAATTGCAAAAAATATTGGTATAATATATAGATTGGCATCATTTCTTCCCAATAATATCCTCCGTACTCTTTATTGTTCCCTTGTTCTTCCATACTTGTCATACTGCAATATTGTATGGTGTAACACATTTCCATCTAATCTAAATAAACTTCAAACACTCCAAAACAAAATCATACGAATAATCTCTTGCGTCCCACTAAGAACTAGTACTGATCCCTTATTTCATTCTTTAAAACTATTAAAACTTAAAGATCTTAATACACTTCAACAGTGTTCTTTTGTATATAAAAGCTTAAACTCCATTCTTCCATCTCATTTACGTTCTATATTTGCACCCAATAACGAATTACATGACTATAGTACCAGAATCTCAAATAAACTCCACATTCCCAAACACAAAAAAACTTCATTTCAACATAATATTAGATACACTGGACCTAAAATATGGAATTCGCTCCCTCTAAACATTTCTGATCCACCATCCAAAAAAATCTTCATTTCTAAAGTGAAAAATTATTTAATCAATAATAATATTGATTAAATAATTTTCCATAATATGTTGATTGATATTTTACTATTTAACAGTAGCTTTAGTTTTTTTCCCTTATAATTCCTAGTATGTATGTTTTTTCATAATAATTTTTCATTTATGTTTTGAAATGCTCTATTATCATTATTATTATTATCCTTTTAAATGTTTGTCTTTTTTTCTCGTTAATGTGTTGTTAATTGTCTTGGGCACATCCATCACAAGCTCTGCTTTTCGGAATTGTGCCCCCTTCAATAC